TTAATGGTCACAAGGAATAATATGCATTGTAAAGTCAAAGTAGCTGTGAAATGTACCAGTGGCATAAACACTGATAAACAGGATCATTGGGGCTTGATTTCAGGTGGTGATGTGTATTAAACTGGTAAAAAAAAAAAAAAAAAAGTAAATATAGTAGTATAGTCCCTTATAATGGATGATGTTGTCTGTAGGTGAATCTCTTCAGATATAAATAACGGTTTACGTACACTGCAGACTTGTAAGACGTTGTAAACTACCTCTGTAGACCTCTCCAGAAAGCACAAAGTAAGCACACTGTTTGTATGCCAACAATCAATGCTTCGGACCAAGAGGAATGAGCTTCTGACTCGCTGACTGAGGGACGGCATCAATACAAAACGCTCACCCTAAACAAGTCGGAAAACACCTTGGGTTCCAGCACTATGTCCCATTGATTTCTATTCAGCTCAACACGGATTCTACACCATTTAGACATTTAATTCCCTTTCAAGCAAAGTCATTACACAGCCGAGCATTTAATTAAGCAATCACAGCAGCGCAATCTGAATGATTCAGTGTCTAAACGAGGGCCAAGTTGGCAGTGTCGGAATGTGGGCCAAGTTGGCATTATGGTGCAGTTCGGAATGAAGCTGCTTCAAGAATTTAGGATTTAAGGAAAAATGAAATCGTGAGAGTGGCTCAACCTCCCGAACAACATTTCTGAATTCAAACCCAAGACATTCCCACAGTAACACTTATAAGTAATATATTATTGTATATATTAAGTGGGTTAAAGGATTTTCTCAGGTGGAAAGAGCCAGGTATTCATGGCTGACCTATTTGCTCCGCGAGAGAAACATCATTTTTAGGGGCATGGGCACAGATGTGTCTGAGGATGTACTAGGGAGGTGTTGTCACCTCTCCACGCCTCTGTGAACAGGGCGACAGTTTATTATGTCTGGATGTGGCCTCTGTGTGCTTGGTTTGCTTCGCCCCAAATGAGCTCAGCTGTTGTGACATTGAATTTCCCCAAAAAATGTTCATTGTTGGTCGGTCAGCGCTGCCTGTTGTGGATTTCATAATGGACTTTGACTAACCGCAAATACAGGACTTTCACGTTTTATTTTTGGCACATTTGAGTCATCACGTCTTTTCTTAAAGTTGTTGATTGCCTTGCCACGCTGTGTTAGCAGAGTTTATCGAAAAACAATTACCCAGCAAAATAGGAAAGCAATATTTTGGCACTTTGCGATTCATGCATTAGACAATGCCATTAAGAAACGGCAGAACTCCTGCAGCTGACAGAAAATGCACAATTAAATTCATGTCCCGTTGAAGTGGCGTGGACAAACAATGTGAATGGAGTTTATGGTCTCAAATTACAAATTGCAATAAATTTAAGTCTCTGGTAAATGGAGAATTAATGTCATGGCACGTTATCCGCTGTAAAACACTGTGTGGGATTCATGCTGTTCTGTGTGATGCTGCATCACCCTACATCTCGTCGCAGTCGTGGGCAGGTGTGCAGGTGGCAGGAGCACCTGTGTGGCTGGTGTCACAGTATGTTGGTGTCTTTAAACCATTTGTCCCCGGTCATGTTAGGCTGCTCACTACAACTGCTACAAACACATTGTTTTGATTCCTTGTTTTATTGGGAATCATAAAGCTCGGTCTGTGATTTTTAAAGGAAAAGTGTTACAATCTGGGAAATGCACTTCATGCTTTCTCGCTGAGAGCTAGATGAAAAGACGGAAAACGACTGTTTCACTCTCTCCTGGCTGTTTGACAATGTGTCTGCTTGGTTCTGCTCCGGGTCAAATCACATTGTCTTTCAATGGAATCATGCCACTTCTAAAATTTGCCTTGAATTTCTTTACATCTAAAGCTAGAATAGGTAATCCTGAAAAAAGACACTGTAAAAAATGCAACCGATATATCCCACCAGTTCGTAACAACGCTATCGTCAAGGCTATGCACATATGAGCAAGCAAGAAACAAATAAGAGATGCTCATAAGCTTTATAATAGAAGTTCAGAGAGTTCTGCTGGTACTTTCAGTCTTTTATTGGCAAGAAAGCGAAAAAAAACGATTCTGCAAAAAGGTCTAACTCTTCATCTTTGCTTTCGTGCTGCTGTGGATCAGATTTATGCACTAATATAATCATAATAATAATGTGAATATGTAATCCGCATTTCTTTTGATTCAGAAATAGACGTCTTCCTTGATAATGACACTTGGTGCTTGGTGCATTTTTCAAAAAACCCCGACATTTTCCCCAGACGTGAACTTTGACATTCTAAACTCCGACTACAGATGTTAATCAAAGTCAGAACTTAATCCCGGCCCTGATAAGATGCTCTATTTAACAGGCTCGTTTTTAGCGGGGGGCTCGATCAGGTGAAATGAAGAGGAACTGATTGCTTGTGGTGATTGTGCTGATTACATTTTAAATTTAAAACTTTCCTCCTTGCACATGGTTCTGAACAGTTTTCCAGACAATGACAGAGCAGGCTTAGTAAATGCCAAGGTCCCTGCAATCACTGACAGGGGAAATACGACATTTTCATTTTTACTTTAAGTTACAGAACTGTAACTGGGTGGACAGAATGATTATAAACCAAAGAAATCCTCCTTACAATGATTGGAATCTCAAAGTGTGATCAACAAATTCCATATATGTATTTGTATCTTTGTCAGGGAAAAGCAAATTTCATATGATTTTGTTTCCGTATTGTCACAGCAGCATTAATCATCTGCCAGTTAAATAAAACAATCATGTCCTGTAGGAGGGAGAGTTCAGCCTTCCCGACCTTCTCCTATTCTGACTGTGGGCAGAATCTGCAATGACTGAGATCCGTGTTGCAATTTTCCCCCCTAGTCAAAACATTATGGATGCTTGTGCTACAGCTGTCATATAAATGACATTTGAAAATATACGATGAAAGGCATTTGCATGAAATACGGCACAGGGTGAAGTATTAGCATAATGGGAGGGGGTATTTGCAATTGTGTCCATTCGCCTTTCTTGGAGATGACAGATCATGTTGTGTACGTACACTACACGGATAAATCGCTGCATAAGCTACTAACCCACAATTTGAGAATCTCAATATTTATTTATTTTTTTAAATAAGGAGAATGTGTTTGACGCCATGTTCACACAGCACTTAATGCACATCCAGTAGGCGTTCGGTCCAATCACTATTTTTAAGCATGAATAACCTTATGCTGTTAAAAAAGATCACAAGAGGACTGAGACTAATCTGCGATATCAAACCGACGTGAATCCTCCTTCACTGACAAAAAAATGTGGGGCTCGCAAATCGTTTTACAAAAAAATCACATCAAGTTTTGTGAACTTTTGAGTCCCAGTGGGTTTAATATCATGGCAGAGATATCAATTTCAATGCGTAAAATCGCTCTTGATCTTTTCTTCACATAATCTATCTGTTCCAAATTCGTTCTCCAAAGATCTGTGTGTTGCTGTGACACCAGAGATTAAAGAGCTGACAGCAAACTCACTCGCCATCTTTCTGACTATTTGCCACCGTTGTACAAGATTAAATACAAGCAGGGGGATTTTACTGTCATCTCCTATATGGATGTGCAGCAGAAACAACATCACCTGTAGCATCTGTCGGCATAAATCCCAAGAACAGCAGTTTAGAAATCATCATAGCCTCAATATTAGAGAAGAAAATCAATGAAGTGCACACTTCTGTGATAAAGCATCATATCTTACTGTGCAGTTTATTCTGTAGGTTGTGTTTGTGCAGCTCTGCAGCACATCACCTGCATCACATTGATTATATTCAATGTAAAATGTCTAAACCTTATGAGCGAGCAATAGCCGGCTTTATCGAAGTATTTCTACTGCTCTTCAAAACCGTTCATCTCGCATTTATTTTGCGTACCCGTGGAGAGGAAGTGACAGAAGCAAAGTAGTGTGAGATCACATCCAGTCTCCCAATGTTGCGCAAGTCAAGAGAGAGAGAGATTCACACATCTCAAACAAAAACGCCTCGTGTGTGTCACGTTGTCGAACGTGACCTTCCGAGGTGAGGACAAAAGCTCGTGATGCTTTGTTGATACGAGAAAAGATGATCCAATTCACAGCGGCGTCGCAGAGACATCGGGCGAACATAATCAGCTTGACATGTGAACTGGATTAGGTGGAGAGTCGGAGTGAACGGTGCTGCAAAACACGACAGGCGAGCATGTAGATGGGAGATTATTCGATCAAGGTTCAAGACGCTTGTCCGGGAATATGTTATTCTTCCCTACTCATGAGCCTGAATGCATGTTTGTACTGTATATGTCTGCTTGCTGCAAGGGAATGAATTTTAAGTGGCAGCACAAACATATTGACACTTAATTTTAGTGCGTGGTGTTATTATATTAGCTGGAAAACATACAGAGTTTTATAATATCAAATATACAGAATTTATATATCAATAAATACTAGTTTTAACAAGGCCAATATAACAAATTCATGTGTTATAGAGGCAACTGCACATACATTGGCCTCATTGAAGATGCCATTACATAACATTTGTTTTGTTTTATACTCGCTGTAAGACATAAAAAGATTTGAGTACATACTGAAATTATGGCATTAATAATGAATTTCATGTACTCAAGCTGGAAACTGTAACTCTGCTGCTGGAAGCTTCTTGTATTGTATATTTTCATACATTTTGCAAGTTTTTCTATTGATGGATATATTCTTCAGTGAATCAGTGAATATATTCAGTGAATATATTGCACATTTGGTTGCATGTGACTGATCAGCAGAAGTAGATTTTCACAATTTCATTCTTTTGAATATCAGAAAGGAAAGAAAGTGGCGATGTCATTGGGGCAATTTAAGTATTCAAGATATTTTTCTCACATAGTCCATTTCATTCCTCTGTCCTCATCACCTCTGCCAGTATTTCAAATAGATGTATAATGTCCATCATAAAACCATTGACCTGTAAAGACAATCCACAGAGAAAAGTAAAATCCTTAGACAGGCCTACCTTGAGGTCGAAGGTGTGAAAGTCATGGAACATTCTCTCCCCTGAGACCTGTGACAGAGCAGGGGGGGAAACGTCATTCATGATTAAGCCACAGTGCAATTACAGAGCAGCTCCTGTGACAGTGATTGATCAATGAGGAACTCCCTTAATGAAGACAAGGACTCAGGGGCTCCCAGTAGCAAATTGGCAAAAGTAAGTAGTAGGAATAGTGTCCCAGATTGCTAAGGCGCTGAGAGGATCAGCCTGTCTGCGGCTGGTAGCAGCAGAAATACAGCACGCAGGTTTATGTCTGATTTTATACAGCTTGCAGAGAAGCAGAACTGAAGCAATGTCAAGACATGAGGAAGTTAGATGATGAATTCTTCCACCATGGCCAGAAATTCCTGTGATAGTTGCAGATCAATTATTCCTGTAATTAGAAACGGTCCAGTAGACACTCAATCATTGATTCCATTCACATGGCCATTATATTGATATTAAATAAATATACCTACTATGTGTCCCATTGCAGTTTTTCTGACTGTTAGCAGGATTATACAAAAATGAATGAACCGATTTTCTTGACACTTGGTGGAATGGTGGGTTATGGGCCAAGGATGAACCCATTAACTCTTAAAGTGGTTTTGATTCAGGGGACAGATCCAGGGTTTTCTTCATTCTCAGGACTTTTGTGAAAGTATGTATGTGCATTTCCCAGTGCCCTGCTAGTATTTTAATTGCTAATTGCTATAGAGCAATGTTTTCAAGAATTGTCTCCCATTTTCTTAGTGAAAATAAAATGTTCCACAAGGAAGGAAATGAACTAAAAATGTTTGCTTAGAATGTTTTTTTGGGGAAACAACAAAAGAGTTAAGTGTTGGAGAATAGCTGAGTTGATAATTAAGACGTCTACCATCGATTCATGCATGAGTCTTTAGGGATGTAAAGTTACCTTGAGTTTCTTCATGAACTGGTAACATTTAAAAAGTTTAGGCAAAGGATAATACCCGAGTCCTGCTGGAATAAGTGTTGATGAAGAAACAACTCTTGGGTTTAGAGACAAAGCTGCGTCTGCTGATTTAGTAATGGAAAAGTTAACCATCCAATTCTTAGGTTTCAATACTGTGGCAATAAAACTTTACAAATCTACGCAAGAAAAGCGTAACTTAAGACAAGTGTCTAATTAAATGTACGTCTAATTGCAGACTAAGCAATCATTAAGTTTACAAAAAAGGGTTTTAGTTTAGGTTGTGGTTGACTTTATGCGTCTGATGAGAACTGTTAGCCTTACACGGCTGCCTGAGTCGGACTGTCAAGGACAGCCTCATTGTTAAAACACCAGAGAAGGAGGAAATCAGGCCCTTGAGGCAGAAGCTTCATATGCCACTGTGTTGAAATTCAGTGTTTGATTTGGCCCTGTAAACTCTGAGAGAAATCTGGACTGCCTTACACTCTGACCTGCCATAAGGAGGGACACATTTGCTTTATGCTCTATTCAAGCCATGTACGCGGGTGAGGACGGTGCTTGCCAAAAACAACTGGCGCTTTGAGGGAGGCATCTGACTTGTGCATTAACTTTTTCTTCTTCAAACTTCACAGCGCACGCGCACGCACGCACGCACGCACGCACGCACGCACGCACGCGGCTTCCCCTGCTCGAGGGCACGTGCACTCATGCGCAAATAGATGAATAGAAACACAGGTTGAATGAAAAACAGACATGCACTTTTGGAAAGAAGGAGAAGGGCTTTACAGAAGGTTGACTCAGTGGGAAACTGAAACAGCTGATACTGTTTCAGTGGAGTTACTAATTAATAGGCAGCACACACTGTGCCACATGCTCCTTTATTAATAAGTGCAGGTGCAGTTTACATCATCTTTTCGTCAGTCTGTGTTTGTAGACTAGACTATAACTGACAGTTCATCAAATCAGTCCTCTTAACCTTGTAATAATCACTATCTAAATAACTACTCAAAAAAATCGGCTCACACAAACACAGATTCTGCAAACAATCTTTTAAAACGAGAAACTGCTCTTTACGTATTTGGGTGATTGATTTAGAAGTCGATTGCCGGTGGATGCTTGTGCTGAATACAAAGAAGGACAAACTGTTTTAAAGATTCCTGTCATTTCCCTTGAAGCAGCGAGTATTGTATCTGAGCGATCCGGCGCTCACGGCGCCGCTGTGAATTCAAACTGTACCCAAGCTAAGACGAGTTGAAACATGAAGGCCTCCACCTGCTATCTCTCTACTTGCCTTAAACATCAAGATTACAGAGCTCAGAGTAATGAAAGTGGGAAAGTCAAACAGCCCCAGAGTGCACTGTGCCATGCAGTGCTATTTTCCCATCCATCCCCAGCTGCAAAACATGTCTGACGTGCATTAACTTTGAAAAACACAATTGCAACTGATTGTTTTCTCACTTTGAAAAGTGTGCGCTACTTTATTCTCCCCCGTTTGACTCTCTTTGAGTGACTGATCATTCAGAGTCTCTCTCTCTCAACTCCGTAATTAGTTTTAATAGATTTCAATTAATTTTGCTTCATAATGCTTATTCACTGAGCACAGCAGCTGCTTCCTCATTTTACTGGCTTATATGGCACTTTGGTTCCCATAGAAACCAAGTCCAGTCAGCCAATGGTAGCGAGGAGAGAACACCTATGTACTTATCTTCAAAATGGTCTGGTAATAACACAGGAGCAGTCCAACACTGAGGTATCCGTGCATATTTCGTATCATAGAAAAATGTAGACAGAGGCAGAAGCATTTACTTAAATACAGGAAGTCAATTTTTTTTACTGTGTAATTGGAAACACGTGACTTGTCTAAGATTTGCCACCGTGATAGACATTTTCAATTACATATATAAGAAGTCATAAGTCGTTGCCTTGCACAAAGATGGGAGAAAATTGTGGACGGTGAGTTGTTTTGTACCCTGAGGTGGCATGCATCAGATGCAGGAGTTATCCCCGAACACAAAATGCACTCGGCGTACTGAGAGGAACAGCTGAAGACTGTAATAGCTGGAGGTGGCGTGAAATAATGCGATCGCTGAACAAGGTGCTGAACATCTGAAAACTAAAACATCTGCTATGAAAAGTTTACCTCCATCATATAGCTTTAATATACACGTGAATACACAAACTTCATCCCTTTCTGTGTGACTGTTGGTGTAGAATAAGCAGACCTCTTGGAACCGTTTTATAAATGGTTTAATTCCCATTGTGTTTCTGAATGTCTATTCATGCAAGTTCAAGGTGTGATGCTATCAGGGTTTTTTTAGACACCGCTGAAGAAGCAATTAATTTTTTAATACAGAAGAATAATCTCAACTCCTGTGCTTTTGACAGTGACACATTAGCTAAATCCTATTGTATTGATCCCGTTCTTTATGCACTAAAATTGCACTTAGTAATTTGCATTTGTGTTTGACAAGACAGAATTAAGACCAGAGCGAACTGTCAGTTTTAATTATATCTATTTCCAAACACATGATGTTGCTTATTTAGCCTTAATGGCCGACAACGACCTTATTCTCCCTTCTTTGACTTCACCCTGTGTTTTTCTGTCTATCTCCCCATAGCTCTAAATGACTGAGCATGGGGTGAATTTAATGATTTGATGTTAACAGTGAAATGGGTCCTTGAGAGCTTCAACAGCTGAAAAGAGCGACTATTTGGCCCGGGGACCTGCTTGCCTCAGCACTTAGAAGCGCACATTTAAATGTTCGGCTTTCACCCGGAAAGGCCCACGAGAGGGACATCTGAAGGGGGTTGGGGGGAGACTTGATGCCGAGGTCCCAGGGAACTGCACGGTCATTCATCACATTAATGAATCGTGTCACTATATTTACAAAAAGGGAGACTTTTTTTTCCCATGGATGGTCCCCACTATCATGATGTGGCATTCTGTTAATGTTGGCTGAAGTTAATCGAAAAAGGCAATGTAATCTACAGTAGTCCAGGTAGCCGGCCAAGTCGGCCTGATTGAAGCTGAATATTGTCGCACCCTGTTGTGTTCTGACAACAAAGGTCTAAATTTGCTGGATATCTGGGATGCAGACACAGGGGCGGTTTGGACTTGGCATCGGCTCCAGATATTAGAAGCCGGGCAAACTTTGGGCCAAAGGCGGCTCATTCATCATACCTGCAGCATTAGTGTGTGCAACCAGCTGTGCCAGAATTGGGTCATGGTTGGGACCCATGCCGCCATTTTGGCAAACTTGGGAAAGTAAAAGTCTGTTGTTGTATTTTTTTGTAAGAAGCAGCTGCTTCAAGAGAATTATTGTATGTTTAGAGGCTCTGCTCTTTCAGGGGCATCTCTGATGCCAGTGACATCCACACAGCTGTGAATGAGCCAATGATTGCGAAGCATGAATGAAACTGTTGATGCAAAGCGTAACGGTTGCTCTGAGTTAACGCCTGGACCGCACTGCCTGTGTGAGCAGGGCGTCTGAGGCACTGGAGAGAGTCGGGGTCTCACCACACGTAGCAAACAGACAGCTAAAATGTTTTCACGGTTTTTATTGTAGTACGGAAGATGCACAAGCTCATACTGAAGTCATACTGAGTTCTGGCATCTAGTTGAGTTTTTATTCAAACACTTGGAGCAAAGACAAACCTCACATATAGCAGCTCTGCAGCAGACACTCTTCCTCACATGCTGCACACGCTCCCAGTGTGACCTTAACGTCACAGTTATTACAATTATTATGGTTTTTGGGGATATTTTTAAAGGTTTAGTGTGTAGAATTTAGTGACATCTAGTGGTGAAGTTGCATGTTGCAGCTGAATACCCATCACCTCAGCCTCACCTTTTAAACATGAAGCAAAAAACATGGTGGCCTCCATAGAGAGATCCCATTCCTGATGTAAATAAAGTGTTTAAATTTAAAGGACCCATTTTCGGTTAAAGACAACATCAATTTGTACAATTTAGATAAAACAGACATCACTAGGATTACTTATATTCAATAGCTGTCTGTACTGCTGTTGCTGGATTTGTTTTCATTCTGGGAATATTCAAAAGACCACCTTAATCCATGAGACAAGTAACTCACCCATTAAC